GGTCCAGGCTGGGAGATGGTTTAGCGTTCCCTTGTGCCACGAGTCCTAGAGGGCAAGGTCCAGCACACCAACATCCCATTCGGGAATTCCAGATGGATTGCCTCCAGGAAGTTTTATGTCCTGAAAATGTGGCGACACAACGCGGCATCTGCCTTCTCCCTGGTACCTCCCTGCTCACCCCGTTACGAGAAACGCTCCGTAAACTTTCCTTGACTCTGTGAAATTAATTTACTTGGTTTTAAAAGGTTATAAAAAAGGTTTCCTGACATTTTTATATTTTGCTTATCGCTTAGCAGCAGGAGCGCCGGGTTTCTGTGCGGGAGGGGAAAGAAGGGAAAGATTTGTTCCTGAGTTGGTTTGGAGCCATGATTTACACCCGCCCTCGTGCGAGAAACATCATTTCTGTGCCTGCTCTCGTTATTTTACATGCTTTTCCTCTCTTTACGATTGATGACCACCTGGGCCAGGAGCTCAGGTTTAGATCTGACCCTTCTGCACAGCTTACAAAGGTGAGAGTTGGATGGGGACAGGCTGCTGCCCCCAGCTGCGCTCTGGCTTTTCTTTAAGCACAGATGCCACGGGGCAGCGGTGATCTCCTGCTGGTCCACAGGTATCGTCCCCCCTCGTCTTCACCGCAGCCATTCCCGTACCAAACCCCAGATCACGGCATCGGCTACCGCAGGGCTCACCGGGACGCCTGGTCCAGAGCTATACAAGGGCGTGAAATCACCTAAGAGCATTTACTGGATTTACATTATTTTAAAATTCTCCTAAGACTGTAAAATACAACTGAAATTAATGTAAAAAATTGTGATAAATCTCATAATAGAGCTCTGGAGCTCATCATTCTAAGAACAGCCCCAATGAAAATCCATCACTCCAGCACAGGAAGACGGGGGGCAGGCAGTGGAATTAACAATTTCCAAGCTCAGAGAAGTCAGGATCTTTTCTAAACAAAAAATCAGCACCAGCAGCATCTGTCCGCCCTCCCACCCGGCTTTGGGGAGTGCTTCCCGTCCCTTCTCTCTGCATTTGGGAAATTGCTCAAAAATGAATTTCCCAAGGACTGCAGTGTGGTGGAATTGCTTTCACACCTTTGACATCCCCCGTTTTCCGCATCCTTAAGAACACTACGAACATCTGAGCAGGGTCAGCAGGTCCCGCAGACAGTCCCCCCCCCTTTCCCAGGTGTCCGGGGTGTGCTTCAGCCTCACCGGTGCCACTTCAAATCCAGCCCCAGATGCTAAATCTACAAAGGTAATTTATTCTACTGATTTTCTGAAATAAAATTCATTCCCTGTTATGCCATTGGATTCAAGAAAGCTATTTTGGCCAGCATTGAAGGGAGGGCCTGCTGCTGTCATTTTGTCACCTCGAGGACTCTCTCGTCACTCAGGAATAACAAGGTCAAGGCTGATGGTGCAATTACAACTGTATTTGGGTTTCCATGTGAAGTGTCCTGGGAAGAAGCAATTCCATGACTCCAAGTGAAGACCAAGCCCAGTCCCAAACTCAAACAGGAGCAAATCTCACCCATCCAGCTGTTCATATGCATGTTCTGAGAGCCTCCAAAGGGTTCCCCTCCGACCTCCCTCCATCCCGGCCCGAGCTGATGGTCTCAGGGATGATGGTGGGTGGTGTTTCCAGCACGACTCCTGGGGCACCAGCAGGTCTGAACCCCCCGCCCCGTGCCTGGGGGTCCCCCCTGCGCCCTGGCCCCAGCCCCTGCCCAAGCTGGGTCCTCATGTTGGGCCCACCTCTGCCCAGGGGACGTGCCAGGGATGTCTCCATCGCCTCTCCTTGTCCATGGCCACCAGGCTGTCACCAGAACCGCTCATGGTCACCAAGCTGGCCCTGTTTGGGTTTATCTGACCAAAAAACTCCAGTATCTGGTGACAGGGTGAATAACACGTCAGAGCGATCGATTCGCCCGTGTAACCATTTCATAGAGACCTCCCGCGTGGCTACGGTGGAGCTAAAAACCACACAGAACACAGACACTTTTCTGATGAAATCCAAGAGGCAACCATGGTTTGGACAGAGTGTATTAAGCCTTCAACTCCTCGTTAATTAGCACAGCACGAAGACTCGCACACGGAAACGGGAAGGGAGCCGCGTCCCTGCCCATGGCTAACGGACTCAGGGCGCGGGATTGTCACAGCTCCAAGCTGGGTGACCTGCCAATGGCTTGGCTGCTGATCACGGATTTGTCACATTTTCATGCTGGGTGATACACACTCCACAGCCAGCGAGTGTCACTGACCTAAGCGTAATTATTTGCAAATATAACACTACTCAATGAAATAATGGCAGAAATCTGATTCTAACCAAATAAATCACATTTTTACACCAGAAATGAGCCATTAAGTTACACGGAAGAACACACAAAACAGGAAAATTCCAACAGAGTGGTTGGGGAAAAGAGTATTTGAAACGGGCAATTATTTTAATTACACCTATCGAAGATGTGCTCCTCCTGGAGAGATGATATTTTTTCTTTTTCTTTTTCTTTTTTCTCATCTTGAAATGCAGAGAGCATATCATCACATTGATATGTAATGGACAAAGAAACATTAGTGCATCAAAAATAGAAGTTTAACTTAATATGAAGTTGTAGAAGAGCATGACTTGCATGGGTGAGGATTTGACCCCAGGGGTCCAGAAGGAAATGGCCATTTGCCGCACCGGAGTGGTTTCCCATGCGCCGTGCACGTAGGTGTCAGAGCTGGCTCAGCTGGCGTCTCATAACGGCAGGGATCCCGCCCCCGGGGCACT